ATCATTTGTAAATTATTTATATATTAGAGATATTAATAATTTTTGAAAATTATTTTCTGATTTTATTAGAAAATTCGGAATTAAAAAAAAAATTGTGGAAATTATTTTTATTTTGTAGAATCTTCATCATTTGAAGCATCTTAATTTTTATATTAATGAGGACTCATTTTTATGTTATTTTATGCAATTGATTGAGCTGATAAATTTAATAATATTAGTCAACTAAATTAAAAATTAAGAGTGGGACATTAGTTAGCATATTTGTTGAAGAAATTAGTATTTTAAATGATATTTATTAAATTTTGGTGCTATTTGTCCCCTAAAACTTCCCTATAAATAGGAGCATTTATCAATGGTAGAATTACACCACAAAAATTCAGATTTTTATGTTATAAGGAAAAGAAATAGTAAGAGTCGAGTTTTTAAGAGAGAAACCCAGCAATTTCAAGAAATACTTGGAGCAAGTTTCTTTTCTTATAAATAGAAGAGGTATGTCTTCAAACTTTGATATCATCAATTATAACTAAGAGTTATAAGTGTTTATATGTGATTTTGATATGTTATCATGTTTAGAAATTATAAATTTTATATATATAAGTATATAAAATAAGATTATAAAGTAAGATTATTTAAAGTTCATATTGCAGCTGCTTATGTTTGTTGTTTTTGACCAAGCTATTAAATTCCAAAAATTATGAAAATTTTTATATGAGATCATCATTATGCTGAGAATAATACTGGAAAGTTTTAAATTATTTGAAGTTAAAATGACATTTATAAAAATCATTGATTAAGGTGCTGTCCAGTGAAAAATCTGTGTAGTAATGATGACTTGTAGTATTTATTTACCCTATCTATTGATATTATTTTGAGTTGGAAATTTTATGGTCAATTCATATATTAGTTAAAAACTTCCAGTTTAAATTTTATCTTTATTGGACTTGTTTAGCATAAGATATAGATTTTTAAAAGCAAGCATACAAGTTAGTTGAATATTTTGTTATATTTTCAACTTTGAAATAATATATCTTAATATATGAGTATTATTTTAAAGTGAAATTTTTATGGTAACTTTATATATATGTGGAGAGTACATATGTTAAAGTTAAGTTTAATATGAGATGATCATGAATAGTTCTCATATAAGTGATGAGTAATTTGATGAAGTTTTGGTATAATATGTTGAGTATACAATTTTATAAAGATTGTATTAAGTATGACATATTAATATCAAGATTATAAGTTATGATTAAAAGATGATTATGGCTTGAGATTATTTTCACTTTCAAATTAATTAAGTGAAAATTTAGTATAAGCCAATATCTAAAAATTGGGAGATATGATGTATGATGAATTAAGTAGTTGATCAAGTTAAATTAAGATAAGTTATAAATCATGTTGATGATGTTGGTAAAAGTAAGCATGTTTTAAGTTTAAATACTCAATCAAGTATAATGTGAAATATAGTTATTTTCACATTTGAGTTATGACATGCTAAGTATAATACCATATTGATGTTTATGAAGACATGATTTATATAAGGTTAAGTAATTGACCTTAAGTAAAAGTAAAAAGAGAAGTTAAGTATAAACTTGAGAAAAAAAACAAACAAGTTTAATGAATTTCTATAAGATTTGGATAAGTTAATAATTTTAAAAATCTTATTGAGTATACGAGCATAGTACTTAGTATATTTGTTTATATTTGATGTAACTTGCAGATACAGTACCAGTACAACACTTATCGTATTTCAAATGATTTCAAAGACAAAAAGGTGGGGACCCTGAACGGGTATCACATTGAGTACGATATTGATGTCATATGGGATGAGGAGACCATCAGTTGTCTCAGAGTATATCCTAAAGTTTAAGATTATTACGCTTAGGATGAGGAGGTATTAATTTGTTCTCAAAGATTATATCCTAAGTTCTGATGGAGGCTGCCTGAGTTGCCTTAGAAATATCCATCAGAGTGTGCACACGAATCCGATTAATTATCGGCAAGAGAAGAGAAATGTTTAAGTTACCGATCAGATATCGGTTTATGATTATCCATATTAGTTACTCACCCCCATGAGTTTTAGTTTCAGGTTACAGGTCGAAGAGGAGGTGTGAGTGGAGCAGTGTTGGTGTGGATCGTGGACTCAGATGAAGACAAGCTTTGATGAGGACATTTATAACAGTCTGTATAATTAACCACATTTTCAAGTATTTCCGCTATGCACATTAAGTATTGAACTTGCATTTTAATAAATTTCAGATTTCAAGTTTTTACCATTATAAGAAATATGATTATGGTATTTTAAATGCAAGTTTAAAGGAAATCTGTTTTATTTATGTATAAGGAAGTATTAGACAAAAGTTTAAAGATAAACGGATTTTCAAGATGATGAGTTTGAGTAGCATCCCGAGTTAGTCGCAAAAGATTTTGAAAGAGTTAAAGTAATTTCGAAGTAAAAGTTGCGAAAAAGTTACTCTGATGAGCGAGGTGTTACAAGCTCACTACATTCTTGGAATTAGGATCTATCGAGATAGGCTTAATAGAATGTTGGGACTTTCACAGTCCACATACATAGATAAGGTACTAAAGCGTTTTTCCATGGAAAATTCTAAGAAAGGGAATCTTCCAATGGGTCATGGCATCAAGTTATCAAAGAAGGATTGTCCTTCTACTGATGTTGAGCTTGAGCGCATGAAGAAGATATCATGTATGCCATGACATGTACAAGGCCAGATGTGGCTTATGCGCTTAGTATCACCGACTGATTCCAACAGAATCCTGGGGAGGAACATTGGAAGGCCGTTAAGACTATTCTTAAGTACCTTAGACGGACTAAAGAATATTTCTTAATCTATGGTGGGAATAACGAGTTAGCAGTTACTGGGTATGCTGATGCTAGTTTCCAGTCTGAACATGATGACTTTAAGTCACAATCGGGTTATGCATTCATTTTCAATGGTGGGGCAGTGAGCTGGAATAGTTCCAAACAAGCAACCACTGCAGATTCAACCACTGAGGCCGAGTACATTGCTGCATCTGAAGCTGCAAAGGAGGCTGTTTGGATACATGAGTCCTTAAAAGAACTAGGGGTAGTTCCAAGTGCCAGTAATTTAATATCTATATATTGTGATAACACCGGTGCAGTTGCACAAGCAAAGGAACCAAGATCCAACAATCGCAATAAGCATGTACCGAGGCGCTATCACTTGATTAGAGAGATAGTTGATAGAGAAGAAATAAAGATAGAACGTGTTCAGACTGAACACAACTTGGCTGACCCGTTCACCAAACCATTGTGTATAGCAAAACACAATAATCATTTTGAGAATTTGGGTATTAGATACATTGGTGATTGGCTCTAGTTCAAGTGGGAGATTATTAGTATATGTGTCCTAGAGACAATCAATTTTGGGACAAATGTACTTGATCATATTCATATTATATTTGATGATATTCATGGTTTTGCATTAATTGATGAATTCTTTTGATTGTCTGTAATTTATTAATTAATGGCTCCCTTGAGTTAATACTGTCATTAACAGAGTGATATGTTAATTGATAGAGTATAACTCTTAAATTACCTCAATCGATGATCATTAAGAAAAGGGATATTAATGATACGTGATAGATTGACATGTGGTCTGCATCACATTCTTTGAGAATATAGTATGTCTCACTACTATGAATAATTGTTATTCGTGATGGACACATGAATACATTGGAGAGTATTGGTATACCCTACCGATAAACCATTTGTTTATGTGTCTATGGGAGTATTGGTGTGTGGAATGGTGTAATAGTCATTTGACTTGAGGTCAATACGCAATTCATGTATAGAGTGATTTACTTAGACCTAGTCCAAAGCTTACGCCCTTATGGGTAGATACGGGCTTGTGTTGGGTAGGTCACGATATACATGGAATTGGTAGTTGAGCCAAGATAGGATTCATTCATCGAATATAGTTTCGAGAGAACACTCATTTTCTCTATACTGGGTTGATAAAGTCATTGGCCAATGCACGTGATTATATTTGAAATGGTGTTCAAATATAATTAATTGAAATCAACCAGTGAGATGAGATAAAATGATTAAGCTGTTTGGATAGACACACGTTCAAGTCTTAAGCTTAATCGAGTGGGTCGTGAATGAAGGGACCGTATCACTATTGAATTTCACACCAAAGGTTTGTTTGCTTTGTCTATGTAAACGTACTTCATATTTTGAGTTCATCCTTCGACGCAGTCTAGGAGTTTCGTAAGGATCATAAATTGGATTTATGTCAATATATGAAGGCCTATAGGGTCACACAATATGCAATCCATTTTCCGTCTAAGAGTGAATCGAGAGTGTTAAATATTCAATTAGATTGGAATATTTAATTTTAATAATTAGATTATTTTCTATTCGATAAAAAATATATAATTAAGTTTAATTGGACATAGACTTAAATATATCATTAATTGGATTAGTTCCAATTGTCTATTGGGCTATATGTTATCCTAAAGCCCATATAATTAGGTTTAGCCTAATTATAAATAGGCGGTTATCTCATATCAGATGTAGAGATCAGATAATTGAGATACGCCGTAAAAACACAAAAACTCTCTTTGCTTTCTGACTGAGGATTCCTAACGTCTTCACCGGAAAGGATTCACTGCGTTGGATCTGCATCGGGATGTAGATTGCGTGGATACCATAGTTGAAGGCAAAGCTTAAACTGTAAGTTCTCGCAAATCTATGATCAAATCGAATAGCTATAGCCGGATCTTCATTGTTGGTAAGAAAATTTTAAAATTCTACTGCGTGTGCGGTTGATTCGCACGTCGAAAATCCAACAAGATTGATTTTCAACAACAAATATGACAGGGGAAACTATAATTTGACAATTCACTACAAGGTACCACCTACAGCTCATGTCCTACACGGTTCTCTCACCTGGATAGATGAGTGTGACAAGCACAACGGTCCTACATGTGAGAAAACACTAGATAGTTAAATTATGAAGCATGTGAGAAAGCACAACGGCCCTACAAGATACCCCAATCAATTTCTTGTTACATATGGAAGAATTGAACTCCCGTCCAGCCTCGCATATGCCTCTCCACCTGCTCGGAATCTCCGTCATACCCTCATCCCTGAAGCTCTGACTCTCCGGCCACACGCCTGTGTCCATAGCCCCGACAATCACGTCTTGACCATACTCTGAGGCTGGCCATAGTCCTACATGGTGGAGGGGCGGAAGTCCCATTGTGCTTTTTTCACATGCTTTATAATTCAACTATCTATGTGTTTGGCAATT